GTTACGCCCGCGGCGAGAACTTCGATTATTATCGAAGACGCGCGCGGAGAGGTCGGCCGTTCGCGAGTCGCGCGAAATGAAGAGACACTTATACAAGGAACTCGGAACTCTTTAATGCACAACACAGAACAGCACAGAACACTACAACGTAATCACAGAAACACAATATTAGTAATTCGGCTCGGCACGATATACAAACGCGTCCGCGCAGCTTGACAGCTGGAACCGAACTAGATGACAGGCGCTCCTGTCAACAACCTCTTGACAACGCGCTTCTTTTCGTTAATCGGCGCCGTCCCGATGAACACGGACATCAGGGCCGTAACAATATATATATATATATATATAACATATATACATATATGTACATATATACATATATACACAATATATATATATATATATATATATATATATATATATATAACATATATACATATATGTACATATATACATATATACACAATATATATATATATATATATATATATATATATATATATATTGCGACGCTTTTTCAATTCTAATTTTGATTCTCGCGGGGGAGTGGAAGCGCCGTCAAAAACACAAGGGTTTTATGTACTCGCGATCGGCGGGACGGGGATGGAGGGTGTCCACGCGCGAGCCGCGGCGGAGCGAAGGCCGTTTCGTTACCTCAGAACTGGGCGCCAGGTACGGTCTCTCACGTACCAGTTTTCACAAATTCTTCGAAAAGCGCGAAAGAATACGACAGCCCGCTTCGCCACGGGCTGGCTAGCTCGCCTAACGGTAGAGGGGCGGGGTTTGAAAGAAAAAGTTAATTGATTGAGCGAGCTTACTAAATTGACAGACAAAGACGGACACAGAAATCACAGATGATCGCCAGTCAAATAAAGAACGCGAGATTTAATAAATAAAAAAAATAACAGATTTATTAAGAAAATAAGAAAGGGTTAACAGAAAAGAAATAGAGTTCGATACAAAATGGAAACAGAAATAATGCACTAGCCACGAACGGACAATAAATCTCGAAACGCTAGAAAAACGCGCGATATTCTAAGTCGGTCTAACAAAGAGTGTCTATTACGGAAGCTTCCTGAAGTCGAAGCTCCTGAGAACAATAATTTCTATACGGAACTTTGATAATTCGAATTCTCGATAACGGTCGTACCATACGCGAGAGAGAGAGAGAGTGCGATAATACCTGCCTATCATTCGCAGCTTCGACAGCCTCGCGGAGATCTGACTAATTAGCTGCGTATCTCGCAATTTCCTCCGAGCGTACTCGAAGTCGACAACCCAGAAATAAGACGGCCGATTAGTTACGCAATAAGCGAAAAGATATTAGTTTCGCGAGGAGAGATCTCGCATACGATTGGCGGACGATACCGGCGAAGTTCGATAGCCGGCGGCGGTCGGAGATTTTTCCGCCTTTTTCTGCGACGCTCGCAACTTAAATATTTCTGGCATTCGGGGCGATGCGACAATGTCGTGTCACGCCCCCGATACCTTCGACAGCGTGAGAATTAATTATCTTCTCGGTCTCAAGGCAATAAGGAAGGCCGGGCGACAGTCCCGCACCGCGCCTCCTTCGATAGCCGCAAAATTTGCCAGGAGTTTCCTGACCTCAGATATCGATACTTAGAATCGTGCGATACCCGCACACCGCGACAATTTCGAGGAATTAAGTTCCTTTTTCGAGACGAACAACTCGCACGCACACAATGGATGCGACAATAATACGCAGTTTCACGCAATATTCACGAACGACGATGATACTACCCGAAGACACATTAATCCCGACCAATTACGTTCCACAGACTCGCTCTGAGACATATTTCAGAGGTGCGAGACGCGGCTTCGACAACCAAACGACAGCCCGTGCGAACTACGCATTTCTCGCGATTTACGACGCACGCGGTCGATACCCAACGGTCGAATGCTACGCGTATTACGCACCCTGATACCCGGAGAGAGACGAGAATTACCCTACGATACGCACTTCCGTCGCCAGTGTCCGCGCTTCCTCGGTCGCTTATCTCCGATCGCCCGAAATGCACAAAATCGACCGACTCAGCAGAAGGCTCGAGCGGTCGCGATAAATGCCGTAATGGCGACGGCGATAGAACGGCCGGCGAGCGGGCACAATTAAATACGCGGTACGCAATAATTCGTGGGCAACCTCACCGACGGAACTCCTTCCGGCTGCGGGGATGATCCTCGGCCTCGTCCTTCACGGTCGGTCTCGAGCCCACACGACAATACACAGAGGACTTTACTTTTTGACTCTTCAGTCGAGCGGCCGCGGCAAAAGTGATCCCTGGATCTCGCGATCCAGGGTCGATAGCGGGGTCGCTGGCCGCGCAGGAGGATGCGCGGACCCCCGGCCAATTAGCGGCCGACACGCGCGAGGTCCTGGCGCCTCGCGCGCCACGCGAGGCATTCTCGCGCCCCGCGCGAAATAGCGCCAAACTTGAACGCTGCCGCGGGCCCTTGTTCGGCCCGGGTGAGGTCCTTCCCTCGCCGATCCTCCCTTGGAGGATGGTTGTCGTATCGGCTGTCGTTCCCGGCTGTCGAGGAGAGGCAATGCTGCTCTCTCTCGACAGCCTCTCTCGACAGCTCTGCTCTGTTCGGTTTTCCGATGCCGGGTTCTCGGGGTCAGGCTCCTCCGTTCCTCCGAATCTCCCTTGGCTGTCGTGTTTAGCTGTCGCGGGGAGGCGATGCTGCTCTCCCCTGTTCTTCGGTGTTCGGTGGCGCGGTGCCTCCATCCAGGCTCGACACAAATTAAAAAATACAAAAAAAAAGAATTACTATCATACGCTATTATACCCATTCGCTCGTCTCTCCGGGGAGTACGGTAGCTCTCTCTCTCTCTTGACCTTTGGCGCGGCCACTCGGCTCGCGCCCCGTCACAATTGCCGGGACGGATAGACGCGACGGGACGGCCACGTCACAATATATATATATATATATATATATATATATATATATATATTCACTAAAATTCAACATATAATTAAATAAATAATTCGATAATTTAGTGTGCTAATTTGTTACCGTAGTCTGGATTTTGTTGCTTAAACCGTTTAGCAGACAATTACGCTTAAAATGGCTGGGGCCAATCTGACATTAAGTCAGCCCCTCCATAATGAAAAACAAATAAAATGCTCCAATCAAAAATTAATTACGCTAGAGTTTGTTGCTTCAAAATCATGTAAAAGCATTTTGTAAAAATTGCATTATTTAATTAAAATTAACAAACCATAAGTATCATCGAGCAATGCCACTCAATTGTACAAGAGAATGGCAACTAAAAGAATTTGTTGCTCGCGTCTTTTTGGTATTAAAATAGTTAATAGACAATATACTATCGAAATATATAAAAGATTGAATTTGTTGCTCGTTTTAAAATTACGTATACCCAGGTCGAGCAGAATACGTAGGGACAATTTTCTAACGCCGACCACCAGATTATAAGAGAAAGCAATACCGGAACATAGAGACCTTTTGCTCTCCTTGTGGTAAACCTGAAAATCATAAAATATATTAGAAACTAATATATTAATATATGTAAATCTTTATCCAATCTGGGATAAATTAAGAATTTTTACAAATTTGCGTACATATTACAAAATAAAAATGCATGTGCAATTGAGTCTGAGAACCATTACATATAGCTGTCTATTCAAATTACTTAATTTTGCATATTTAACTAATTTACTTTTCAACATCAAATAAATCATCATATTAAATATGAATACTTGTTATAATAACAAAATTATATTTTCAGGAATGTATAAATATCACTCTCTATATAAAATCCAAAATTTTCTATGCTTAATATTTCTATTACCACTTGGTAAACCCATTGAAAAAAAAATATATATATATATATATATATACAGGGTGTTCAAAAAGTCCCGGTACGGGGGAATAACTCGAAAAGTAAGGGTCGGACAAAGAAACTTTTCGGACAAAAGTTGTAGGGCTTACTCCGAGCTTTTATCTCGTGACCTTGAATTTGACCTTGAAGTTGACCTTCAAGTGAATTTGAAGGTTAGGTCGACTTTTTTAAATGGGACCGCATACTTTTGACACCGGGAACGGAAAGAGCAGGAAATTTTACATTCGGATATAACATTGTCTGTACACTTCCTTGACTTTCTGATCAACATCGAGGTCAAATAATAAAAAAATTAAAAAGTCCCGATAAAGGCTAATAACTCAAACAGAAAGAGACAGAAAAACATTTTTGTCAAAAGTTATAGAGTTTATCTCTAACCATTATCTTGTGATGGAATTTGGTACAGCAGGATAGAGAAGGAACCCAGCCAGTTAAGTTAATTTAAAGCAGAAACCCAGCCGGTTAAGGTAAGGTAGAGAGAATCCCAGTCAGTTAAGGCAAGGTACAGAGTAACCCAGCCGGTTAAGGCAAGATACAGAGTAACCCAGCCGGTTAAGGCAAGGTACAGAGTAACCCAGCCGGTTAAGGCAAGGTACAGAGTAACCCAATTTTTAAGAAATTGTGGGATTTGAGGGGGGGGCACATCCACCCTTGGGGGAAGACTCTTCAAAATCTGACCTCAGATTCGTAATCAACGCCCCGCAACCTCCTAAGTGGTTAAAACAATACATTTATAAGTTAAAAAAACTAAGTAAATAAAAATAAGTAAAGATTAGCCTCTAACCCGAAATATGTATTAAAGACCAACAGGATTACCGCTAGAACCATCCGGTTTTGACGTTAATCCAGGATTTTTTATAGTGTGTCACTGAAGCTATAATTTCAAATTTTGTGTTTCTTTGCTTTTATTTTATGTAGTTTTGTTTGGACAAAAGTGAATTGTATGTATAATTATTGTAAAAGTTTTTTCAGAAACTAAAATTATTTTATTTCATTTTATTTTGAGTTACTCTTATTTAACATTTTTCTTGATTTTCGGAAATTTTGAAACTTATTTTTTCTTGTTTAAATTAAATTCCATCAAATCCTTGATTACGATTCTTTTTTCTAAAGCACAATGGTACATCTTAGTGAGCGAGAACGAATAAGTATTCTCATGATGAGAGGTTGGGGTGATAATCAAAGATCGTTGGAGACTGTACGGGTTTTATTTAATGAGACATTTGTAGATAGAGGTGAACCGATTTCAAAGAGTACTGTAAAGAGAACAATTGATCGTTTTAATGAAACAGGTAGTATTAAAAATCTTCCAAGATCGGGTCGTCCTGCAACAGCCACCAATGAGGAGAAACAATTGAATGTTGCACTATCAGTAATTGAAGATTGTCATAGTACAGTCAGAAAATTACATCAGCAACATAATGTCAGCGTTGGTTCGATTCACAATATTTTAACAAAAAAACTCAAGTTCCATCCATACAAAGTGACATTAATACATGAACTTAATGAAGATGATCCGGATAGGCGCATCGACTTCTGCGAGACTTTGATGAATCGAATAAATGCTGATAATAATTTTTCAAGACGTATTGTCTTTTCTGATGAAGCTACGTTTGAATTAAATGGTAATGTCAATAGACATAATATGAGATACTGGAGTAGTGAAAATCCCAACTGGGCGATCGATAGCAGATCTACTCAACACCCTCAAAAAGTCAATGTTTGGGCAGGTATCATTAATAACAGAATTGTTGGACCATTCTTTATTGACGGCAATCTAACTGCTGAAAAGTATGAGAGAATGTTAAGAGAGGATATCATTCCTGCTATTCAGGCAATCGTAGGTGATGACTTCGAACGTACCTGGTTTCAACACGATGGAGCTGCTCCTCATTATGGACACGATGTTCGAGCACACTTAAATAACGTATTCCGTACGAGATGGATTGGAAGAAGAGGATCGATAGAATGGCCAGCAAGATCACCCGATCTCACTCCGCTTGATTACTTTTTATGGGAATATTTGAAGAACAGAGTATATCAAAACAAACCTACAAGTGTCGAAGAACTGCAACAACGTATCAGGCAAGAGATAGAAAATATTGATCCACAACTGATTCAAAGTGCAATAAATACTTTTTATCACCGCTTAACACATTGTCAAAACGTTAATGGTGAACAGTTAGAACACTTGCTTTAAATACTTGTTAGTACTTACTACCTTGCCTTAAACATCTAGATTACTCTCTACCTCGCCTTAACCGGCTGGGTTACTCTGTACCTTGCCTTAACCGGCTGGGTTACTCTGTACCTTGCCTTAACCGGCTGGGTTACTCTATATCTCGCCTTAACCGGCTGGGTTACTCTGTACCTTGCCTTAACCGGCTGGATTACTCTGTACCTTGCCTTAACCGGCTGGGTTACTCTGTACCTTGCCTTAACCGGCTGGGTTACTCTATACCTTGCCTTAACCGGCTGGGTTACTCTGTACCTTGCCTTAACCGGCTGGGTTACTCTGTTCCTTGCCTTAACTGACTGGGATTCTCTCTACCTTACCTTAACCGGCTGGGTTTCTGCTTTAAATTACCTTAACTGGCTGGGTTCCTTCTCTACTCTGCTGTATCAAATTCCATATCACAAGATAATAGTTAGAGATAAGCTCTATAACTTTTGACAAAAATGTTTTTCTGTCTCTTTCTGTTTGAGTTATAGCCTTTATCGAGACTTTTTAATTTTTTTAATATTTGACCTCGATGTTGACCAGAAAGTCAAGGAAGTGTACAGACAAGGTTATATCCGAATGTAAAATTTCCTGCTCTTTCCGTTTCCGGTGTCAAAAGTATGCGGTCCCATTTAAAAAAGTCGACCTGACCTTCAAATTCACTTGAAGGTCAACGTCAAGGTCAAATTCAAGGTCACGAAATAAAAGCTCGGAGTAAGCCCTACAACTTTTGTCCGAAAAGTTTCTTTGTCCGACCCTTACTTTTCGAGTTATTCCCCCGTATCGGGACTTTTTGAACACCCTGTATATATACAGGGTGAGGCATCTAAAACAGGCCACCTGAATAACTCCGTTGGTAAGCCGAATATAAAAAAATTGTTCAGACAAAAGTTGTATGGTTTCAAGGGGGACATATGATGGTGTCATTAGTTTAATCTTGAAGAGCCACCCGAAGGTCACGTGAAGGTCAGCTCCAACTTTTCAAATGGGACACCTTATATGCTTTTGCATATTCTTGTAGCTCATCTCAAGAGCTTTCCAAAACACTACAATTATGTTAGTTTTCATTAAATACTTTCCAAGTTATGAGGCTTGAAATCATTTTTTAATTTTACATAAACCGTAAAATATCTTGTAAAATATTCATTTTTCGATTATTTTACCTTAATACTTTTATGTACAAAATAATGAGAAGAATCAACTGGTGTAAAGAAAACACATAATTGCTTCGAACAAAAAAATGTAATTTGCAATTAACAATTATATATACAGGGTGTGATGAAAAAACATTTGTCTGTAGTGTTTTGGAAAGCTCTCGAGATAAGCTACAAGAATATGTAATGAAAAATAGTGGGTTCAATTTAAGAAATTGAAGGTGACTTTTATGTGACCTTCAAATTACTTTCCAAGGTCAAACCAATGCTATCATATTATGTCCCCCTTCACACCCTACAATTTTTGTTTGAAACATTTCTTTCTGAAGAGTGCTGTTTTCGAGATATTCGAGTGTATTGATTAAAATGACTCACATATATATACAGGGTGTCCGAAATGTGTGGGAACACCTAAATATTTCGGAAAATAAGCATAATAGAGAAAAATGTTTCAAACAAAAGTTGTAAGGATACAAAGATCTATTTACTAATTTTATCAGTCTGACCTTGAGTGGCGTCCCTAAGGTCAGGTCAGGTCACGTCGATTTTTGCAAACGGAACACCCTATTTATCATACCAGAATTTGATAGCTGGTATCAAGAGTTTTCCAAAACACTACAGACAAATGTTTTTTCGTTAAGTACTTTTTGAGTTATAAGGCTTCAAAGTTTGCAGTACTTCGATATAAAATGCAAAATATCTCGTAAAATATTTAGTTTTCGGTAGTCTTACCCTAATATTTTTATGCACAGGATAATGAGACAAAACTATTGGTGCAAAGAAAACGTATGATTGTTTATAACAAAAAGTGCATTGCAAATTACACATTTTTTATTATAAACAATCATACGTTTTCTTTGCACCAATAGTTTTGTTTCATTATCCTGTGCATAAAAGTATTAGGGTAAGACTACCGAAAACTAAATATTTTACGAGATATTTTGCATTTTATATCAAAGTACTGCAAACTTTGAAGCCTTATAACTCAAAAAGTACTTAATGAAAAAACATTTGTCTGTAGTGTTTTGGAAAGCTCTTGATACCAGCTATCAAATTCTGGTATCATAAATAGGGTGTTCCGTTTGCAAAAATCGACGTGACCTTGACCTGACCTTAGAGGCGCCACTCAAGATCAGACTGATAAAATTAGTAAATAGATCTTTGTAAACCCTACAACTTTTGTTTGAAACATTTTTCTCTATTATGCTTATTTTCCGAAATATTTAGGTGTTCCCACACATTTCGGACACCCTGTATATATACAGTGTGTCCCATTTTAATCCATCAAGTCGAATATCTCGAAAACCAAACCCAGGAGAGAAAAATGTTTCCGACAAAAGTTGTTTGGTTTCGAGGGGGCCATAAGATGATACCATTGGTTTGATCTTGAAGTCATTTGAAGGTCACGTGAAGGTCACCTCAATTTTTTAAAATGGCACCTCCTATTTTTTATTAGATATTCTTGTAGCTGACCTCGAGAGCTTTCCAAAACACTATAATAAAATATTTTTTTATTGAGTATTTTTCGAGTTATGAGGCTTGAATAATTTCTTAATTCTACATAAATCATAAAATATCTAGTGAAATATTCATTTTTCGATTATTTTACCTTAATACTTTTATGCACAAAATAATGTGAGAAATCGATTGGTGTAAAGAAAACACATAGTTATTTTTAAGAAAAAATATGTATAATTTGCAATTAACAATTACATTTTTCTTTGAAACAACTATGTGTTTTTTTTTATACCAATTGATTTCTCTCATTATTTTGTACATAAAAGTATTAAGGCAAGATAATCGAAAAATGAATATTTTTCTAGATATATTACGGTTTATGTAAAATTAAGAAATGATTTCAAGCCTTATAACTCGAAAAGTACTCTATGAAAAAATATTTTATTATAGTGTTTTGGAAAGCTTTTGAGGTCAGCTACAAGAATATGTAATAAAAAATAGGAGGTGCCATTTAAAAAGATTGAGGTGACCTTCACGTGACCTTCAAATGACTCTTCAAAGTCAAACCAATGGTACCATCTTATAGCTCCCTCGAAACCAAACAACTTTTGTCTGAAACATTTTTCTCTCCCGAGCTTAGTTTTCGAGATATTCGACTGGATGGATTAAAATGGGACACCTTGTATATTGTGACGTTGCAGTCCTGTCGCGCGTCCATCCGCCCCGATAAGTTTAACGGGCCGAGCGGCCGCGCCAGAATCTGCATCGAGAGAACATTATCGAGCTCCACGGAGAGACGAACGATATTATTATGTTTTTCGCGTTTATTAATTTTATTTGTCATTTCTTTTGTATCGAGCGAATTTCAGGCAACCCGCAGGAGAAGATCAGGAGGGCTAGGAACGCATCGAGGGATCTTACGTCATGGCTGACGACACGGCGCTTCTCGACAGCCAGCAAGGGACGAAATAGCGCCTGAAAGGTCGAGTGACCAGACGCCAAAGAGGCAACATCGCCCCTTTTCGAGAAGGCACATCAAGGGACGGATAGGCGCTACCTCCCCCGCAGAGGCGAGAACGACAGCTGAGCCTCCATTGAAAATGGGCCCGCGACAGCGAAATTTTAATTCGAGGCCGTTGTGCGCCAGGCGCCGAAATACCTCGCATTTCGTGAAGCGCCAGGATCTCTCGCGTGCGGCGATATGATTGGCCGCGGGGCTGCGCACCCCTCTACGCGGTCATTGACGCCGCTATCGACCCGGGATGGAAAGATCCAGGGATGATTCCGGTGCGGGCGCTCGATAACAGTAGTCGCAATTTGTTGTCTTGTGAAAGTTTGTGAGAGAATCGCCGTTGTCGAGATGTCCGCCGAGGACGAAGCCGAGGACCATCTCCAGCGCTAGGAGAAGTATCGGTGAGGTTGCCCATCTTTTTATTGTGAGCCACATACGCGATTTGATCCGCCGGCCGGCCGTTCTGCCGTCGTCGCTATTTTCGTGTTTCGCGACCGCTCAGGTTCAGGATCGAGCCAGCGAGATTTTGATGAATTTTCGGGCGATCGGAGGCAAGCGACCGAGGAAGAGCGGACCATCGTATTGTAGGCATTAATTGATAAGGTAACGTTCGTCTCTCTCTCCGGGTCTCGGGGTATTCATTACGCATAGCTATCGACCGCCGAATATCGACCGCGTGCGCGAAGGATCGCGAAAAGCATACGCCGTCGTCGTGTCATGTCGTTGCCGCGTGAAATATTCCCGTAAATTATCTCAGGGCGATTTTTGTGTCTGATTTCGTGGATGTCCTCGTCGATTGTTAAGTATGCGTGTGGGTGTTTATTGTATTTTATCGTATGGTGTGCGTTAGAGTATTTGCGTCTTTGTCGCGCTTATTACGCCGTCGAATAGTGCGTAATAAATGGTAATTTGTGTCTGTCGAATTTATCGCGGTGCGAAATAATCGCCAAAGTCCGACCGAGAGTAAAATCTGAGCTGTTTGCGCGGAAGAAAGAGGCGAAACGCCGACAGAGAAAAATCTCCGGCCGCTGCCGGCTATCGAATATCGAAAATATCGTTCGCCTGTCGCATACGAGATCCGTCTTCGCAAAACTATTAGTTATTTCCGATCTCTGGTTAATTAGGCTGTTGAGTTATTAAGTTGTCGTTTAAATTTGCGAATTGGGAAATTGTGAAGAAAAGTCAGTAGCGATAAATCGTCGATTTGGTTGTCGAAATTACGATACCTTTTGAGTGAATATTATCCGCGAATATTTTCGTGACGAAAATCCTTTGTCTTTCGAGAAATATCGTTCCGTCCCGCAAACTCCGGCCATAAAAACGGGCTCGGATAAACAACAAGAATGTGTTAGCGG